TTTACAATTTCCTTGTTACTATCTTATATCCTACCATTTTACACACTGTACATTTTTTATTAATTTGTGTACAAAATTGCGTTAAAAAATTATATGTTCGTTTATATCTAAAAATAACTTTAACTAACTTTGATATAAGCTAATATTTATTTCATTATATTTTCCTCAACACTATTAACAAAAAAAGAAAAACGTACCAAAGAAAGTACAATAAATTTTCTTCCATAATTCAAATTACCAAAATTTGCACAGTCTGAAACAGTTAATTAACATAACATCGAAGTTTCGCAAATCCGCGAGAACCAACCGAACTCAAAGCTGATAAGCCAGTACACATACTTCATCCAACTTAATAATCTCTTCCATTAAAACCAAAAACAGTTACACTTCAATCGTACCGAACGAAATCTCCGTTGTGTTTCGCCTCGACTGCGTGAAATCGCTTATAGCTATCATCCGTAACGCATAAATTCACGCCGAGAAGTGTTTCCGCGGAGCTCCGAGTTGGAGAGGCGTCAAATTGCAAGCATCACGATCGATTTTGCGTCCAGTTTGTGTGTACCAGCGGCGAAACCGGTTTCCTCGCTTACAAGACATTACGCTCTGTGTGACACACGAAGCTACCGAAGTGGAACGTCACGAGGAATCCTAATTATTCAATCAGCGTCTCGTTACGTTCTTTACATCTTGGTGGATCCATCTCAAAACAGCTTCTTTCTTCGCTGTGTGTCGCGTGCGCGCTTCCAATAATCGATCGCCAATAAGTCAGTGGTTTGTCGTGAAAGAAAAAGAAACAGAAAAAATTTTCGTACAAGGCAAACTGGAGAAGGTATGTGTGTATAGGTACGAAAATTTTTTCCGTTTGTCCCGTGGGTAGTCGTTTTATCTTTTAGCATGCGTCGCGCGAAACTGCAATGGGCATCTCTACGTCTTACCTCTTCTTCGTCTGGCAGTACTTCCCCGCTTTATATTTTCCTTGACGACGACCGTGACATTAACGTTCCCGTGGCAGCCGATCCGAATCGGTATAAAAGGGGAATCTCGAGGAGTGCCGGAGTAGTCGAACACTAAAATTTCGCGCAACATGAGAGGTTTGCCCGGAACGATAGTCCTGGCGGCGTGTTTGACCGCCTGCTCGGCTATCTGTCGTCCCGGATTGAACGGACGGGAAGATTGGTACCAGTGCGAAGGATTAAGCGACTTAAACGTGAGAAATTGCTGCTTTCCGCTTTTGTTAAATATCTTGTTAGACGGATTGTTTGTCCCGTTTGTACCGTTGCGATTCTAACTTCCTTCGGCTCTATGCACGAGATACACTTTGAGACGAGCGTCTTTGGTTGGAACGTTTCGAGCTGTGACTTTGGAAAATAATGCTCGAGAGAGGATTTTCATTATTTGGTGTAGGAGAGTTGTTTTTTTTTTTTGAGGAATTTGATGTTTATTCGTAAAAGAAAATTGAAATATTCCGTATTGTTTTCAATTATTTTTGTTCGTCTTTTGGGGCAATATGTGAATTCCATTGCGATGACAAAACTTTTTAGAGTATAATTCGATCTTTATTTAAAAACAAATTTTTTTACGTATTTCATTGTGGTATAAAAAAGTCTGATAGATTTTCGCTTTACGCTTGTTCGATTCGAAAGAAAATATGAAAATAGTATCACAGCACCGAGGTGTTCTTTTATTTTTCGCACGAATTTATTTCGCGTAAATATTTAACCTTGATTCATTCGTGTTAAGAATATTTGTAACCGCGTATGAATTTTATTCATTCTCGCCGAAATCCGAGTTCTGTTAAGCGCAATAATGTTATTTGTTTCGGATAATTATTCACTTTAATCACTCCGCGAGGTTTAAATAATCAACGCAACATATTACACCCGTTGTGCGTGTGTCTGTGTATCTCCCAGCTTCCAACATTTTCAAATATCGACAATACAAACAAACAAACAAAAAAAAACTCGATTAATTCCCTTATCAAGCTATTCAAAGTATAAAATATAGGGGAAAAAAAGAGAAAGAAGAAGGAGAGGAAACAACAAATCGAATATACAGTTACAGATATCAGCTGGAGCCGCGGGGATCAATATCGTCAATTCGAATATCAGCAAGATAAAGACCGACGCGTTTTCCAAACTCTCCAATTCGCTGATAGAGCTAAACATAACTGGCTGTGGCGTGGAGGAAATCGAGCCAGACGCTTTCAGGGGTCTTAGTAAATTGCAACTGCTCAGTTTGGTCGACAATAAGATACGAAAGATCGATGCTTCGTGGATCAGAGGATTATCGAATCTGAACATGTTAGTCCTATGGCGTAATCGGATCGTTGATATAGATCCAGAGATTTACGATATGCTTCCTGAACTACAAGTTTGGGACATCGCTTACAACGAGTTGAACGCGTGTCTCAAGCCGGACATGCTGAAGAAACTGAAGAAACTTCGACGAATTTTGATCGCCGGCAATCCGTGGTCGTATCGATGCCGCTCCTCGATGACGTGGTACCTAGGTAGCAATCACATTCGTTTCATCAAAGACTGGAGCATCAGCGATCTGCTGATCGAGGAATGTTTGGCGCACGAGATTGGCGCCGAGCAAGACGACGCGATTTTAAATAGATGCGTCGATCGTAAAGTAGGATCCTCAGACACTCTGCCGTATGACGTGGCCGGTTTGAACGAGCAAGTTCGCGAACTGACGAAAAAGGTTATCGGTTTAGAAGCTGACGTAGCTCGGCTGAAGAAATCGAAAATGTAATCGTATTTTTGCTTATTCTTCCATGTTTCGTTCTTTGAATATCGATGTTTATACTTAGATCTTAAGTTACGTATCAGAGTAAAGATTAGGAGATAAATAGTACTCGTTGTAAGCAAAGCCTACCTTCTTCGGTAAAGTTTTCTGGTTTAATGATACAATTAGTATTATCAGAAATAGAAATTTCGTAAGATTTTGATGCAATTTTGATATATGGTAGTTCTCAAAAAAATAATAAAGTTGAAGGTAGTAAATATATTTAGTCTAATATCTCGAATATTATTAGAGATAGAGGAATAGTGTAAGTTGACGACTTTTGTATTTTTCAACAAATTTGAAAAATAAAGAATGATAAATAATTTCGGCCGAAATTTCATGTATATCGGTGAAAGGGTTGAACATTATTAACCCTTTGAAAATGGTAGACTCATATATGCATTCTCAAAATACTATGAACGCAACCAATAAATTCATATATTTTTAAGCAATAAAAATAGGCGTGGCCATGAACTCATGTACATAGGTATATTTGAGGAAAGTGTAATTTTGATATAATTTAGTTTTAAAAAAAAGTGGAGGTTTAAAAGGGTTAACATCGCCTTGCGTCCTATTCTACATTACCCAGTGACCAACCTTCGATATCTTCTCACAAACCTATAAAAACCCTTCGAATTTTAATCAACGCATGTATCTTCGTCCCAAAAGCGGACAGTTTTTTCATATTAATAAACAGTCTTGTCGCTCGTGAAGATTGTTCCTGGATGCAATCGGTTAGTCCATTAATAATACGATCGCATCGAGAGAATAGATCGTGACGGACACTGCTTGCGATGCAGTCTCTTTCTACTGGGTGCCCTTTTTTCCTCTCGGTCGAGTTGCCTCGTTTCACGAAGAGAAAAAGAAAAAGAATCATCGTCGAAATGGTGGAATCTAGGAAGCCAGTGACTGCGCGTATCGAGGATAGTGGAACCGTTAATATCTAAGCACCTAAATCACAATGGCACGTCATACGCGCGAGCTGCGTTAAATCACGATGCGTCCAGTAGCTGATCCACGGATCTCTGGCCGATTCTCTCCGCGCTGGGACAAGAACATTGCGACTTCGGTTAGCCGCCATTCATCACGCGGCGGCGGCGGCGGCGGCGGCGCGGTTAAAAATGCGTATCGTACACGCGGACGGATCACGCTCGCGCACGTTCGTGAGATCTTTGACGCGGTTTCCGCGGTCATTAATAATGCTGCTCCGTGGCGGTGAGCCACGCGAAAAAATAGTGGACCCTTGGGGGTGGGAGGAGGCTGGTGAGCAAGCGCCAGAACGGAGGATATATCGGGCCAGGTACGAAACCGGCAGCGGGTAGACAGTTCCGACGCGATGTGTGTGGAACTGTCCGTTGCAAACGGCCTTTAACCATTTCACCCTGGCTGCTGCACACCGCCGACGACGACGTGCGCGCCGATAAGTGCGCCCCGTATCGGATTCGACTCGCTAACGAGACCCACGACGCGAATCTCACGGTGAATCTTGCCGTGCAGATCTTGTTTTCTTTCGGTTAGTTTCTTAATCAAATGCTACAATGATTCTTAGGTAGATTCGGTCGGCCGGCTGGCCGGTGAGCTCGATGGAATCGGTTTCGTTACGTTCAATTGCGGATTTATATTGTTCCATGTTTCTTGCGATTAAATTGGTTTTTATTGCCGAATTACTTTGTGAAGGAATAATTACGTGCAATGAGAAATCAGATAATTATTTAAACTGTATAAAAAATTCATTCTAAAAAGTGTAAGAATTTTCTTTGAAATTCGGTCAGCTAAAATATTTGTTTAAACAAATGAATAGATAGGTACTTTGAAATCTACTTCAAATTATAAAACAACGAAACTAAAGCTTCCTGTAACTTGTTAAAATTAGATTGGTTGTTATTGCCGAATTACTTTGTAGCGCATTATTTGCATACAACAAGGAATTAAGTAATAATTTAAGCAATATCAAAAATTCATCTAAAAAATGTAAGAATTTTCTTCAAAACTTGGTCAGTTTAAATATTTGTTTAAACAAATGAATAGGTACTCTCAAATCCACTTCGAATATGTGTATTATCTTCCTCCAATTTATTAGAACAAACAGGATCCCAGAGGACCTAAAATCTTGTTTCAATTCCAACACACTATCAGTATCCCCAAATCAACATTTATTCTTCTACCTCAACATTATCGTCAGTGTGTTTCCATCTTACAAAATCGTACACACAAACTCTTTCCAAGTTCACCTTAAAATCCTCCAAAAAACCATACTCACCTCAGCCAAACCTTTTCCCCTGTTTCCCAACGAAAAAGTGCTAAAACGGACTCGTGGAAGAACTCTTTGCCCAAAGATTCTCGGTCGCGATTGAAATCGAGATGCGCGGTTCGTAATTTGGCGTTGTTCCCCGTCCGGTTTTTTCCATTTGTATTTAATCAGACGTTTGCTCGCGCATCGCGAATCCTTCGCGGATGCTATTGTGGCGGCGGCGCACGCGGAGGGAGCGCGCGGTTTGTTGCACGGTAGGCGCACGGTAGGCAAAGACCTTAGGATATTGTTCTACCTCCTGCACGGAGAGAAACTGCTCGCGGTCTGTGATTTATAGAGAGGATCTCGTTTGCCTCGCGTTGCACCGGCATCGTCCAGGTCCTCTCCTCTTCGTCGTTGTCTTGGTCGTCTTTGGACGGCGTGCGGAGTCGTGGCTGTGCCGCGGCGAACCATTCTACGTATGCAGAGTGCTCTAGTTCCCACGCAGCGGGGCTATGCACTCTCTAAGCGTTCGCCAATAGGAGTCATACGCCACGCTCCTTCTATGTGCTCCTGTTACGCACTCATGCTACTGCAAACTGGTAGACAGCTGTACATTAGCATCTTCGAACGCCTTTTTAGCACCAGGAAGTGCAATCTGTCATCGCGGTATCCTTTGGAAAATATTCTTCTTAACCTAATAGATTAGAAACTTGTCCGATGAGCAGGTCTGTTAATTACTTAGTTTTGCTGTAAATTTTGCTTCGAAGTAGGTATTAGATGCTCTTTGGCCGAGGCAAAAGGTACTGGTATGCAAAACGGCTATTGTTTCAACACACTTACCCCGTTGTGTAAATAATAGAAGTCTGACTCTATCTTTTGTACAATGAGAGTGAGGTGTGAAAGAAAATCGTGTCGTTGTGGTAGAAAAAGTGTTTGACATTTTCAGTGGTTTCAAAAGGTTGAAAATCTCAGTAAGATACTCGTTTATCGTACTATAAAACGTTACGATGAATTCTTAGGAATTTATAAATAATTTGTGTAGCTTGAAGAACGAGCTACTTTTTTTTTTTTTGTTTTAGCGAATTTTTCGTAATTTTTTCCATCGACGTGGTTTTCGGTGTCTTCATCGTGGCAGCGCGTCGTTATTTATTTTACATTGTGCCCGTTTTGCGGTAAATCATGTTTAATAAGCTATAAGTTACAGCTTTTGCTGGCTTATATTTATGATACGTTGATCCTTATCCGAATGATGTACATTAACGATCGAACCGAGAAATCTGTGTACACAGGATCGCAGAGTCGGTATCTATCCTAGGCTACGCGCGCAGTAGGCAGGTTACCGCTTATCTGACAGAAACGTATCGAATGCAAATATCTTACGGTAGACGCGTTCGCGAATGCGAGTAACTATTACTTGAACAAAATGATTTATTTGTCGATTTCTTTTTTTATCGTACACGATTTTAATCTGCGTCATAGAGCGTCGATAGTTGTAGCTGTAGAAGTTTTGCATTCTAGAGGATCGAGCGAATGCGAGGTATTTAGATATACGGGATAATAAGAGATCATGAAATAGGGACAAAGCTGAGAACATGGAATCAATGCTGGAGCTATTCTTTGTACACTTCATCGACTAGCAAATTGTATAATTAATCTCCATCTATCTACCTTCTTTTGTACACATTTCTGCTTGGGTTTCTGAATTCTACGAGGGTTATCTTTAAAGTAATGACTAGTAGAGTTCATTGACATCGTAATCTGTCACTGCTTGTGACTTCCTATATTTAGTGTCGAATGAGTTATGGCGTTTTAAAATTAATTAGACAATTAATTGTGACTTCGACTGTGAAATTCGACAGTGATATGATTTTTTAAATACTCAAAATGTAAAACCGAACGAAATTCATAGACAACTGAATTTAGTGTAGCTGAAACAGCAGAGGAAATTCTGGCGTGAAAATCTTCAAAAATAATGTCAGTTAGTCGGCTAAATTTCTTATTGGATCCTGAAGTTTTGCCACACTTGGTAGAATCTGACACTCACCAAACGACTCAAGAAATATCACAGAAACTCAAAGCTTGACGATTACTTTCACTAAAAATCCACAAAGTATTTAAAACGCGAGAAATATTGTCGTTGAAACTTCCCTGATTCATAAGAACGATGCTCAGTTATCACGAATAATTCCCATGGACGAAACCTGTCCGATAAATGGTGTAAAGAAGCGTTTACCATGGAGTAACCAGCAAAGTGTCCCCCCCCCCCCGATGTCTTGCTAGTTTGAAATTGCAAAGGGAAAATAGCCGCGGCACAGAGAGAGGCGGTCGCCTCTCGATATCAGCCCCGGGATCGAGGCGCATCCTTTTCCTCGGGCGGCGTTCACCAGCGAGCCCTTTATTCCCGGCCATTCAGGCCTTTCAGCCGTCGGTCTACAATGCACGGACGAAAATGTCAAATCAACATACACGCAGAGAAAGAAAAAAATAAAAAAAAGAAAGAAGGAAGAAAAAAAAAAGGAATGTGGAATCAAGAGAACAGAACGGCGCGCACACCCGTCATCGATACCGCTCGTCCGCTCACCTGGCCGCAACGTTTCTACCCGAACAGTGTATCCCCCTTTTGTTCGATGTATAAAAAAAAAGACGTCGAAAAAAAAAAACGGGAAAAGGGGTATAAAAAAAAAAAAGAAAAAAACTATGCCTAAGATGAAAAGCACGAAGTGAGCCTCGCGGCCGGCTGGAGGCCCGCCAAATAATATACTGGCACCCTGTCCACCCCCGCTCTTCGCCATCCGGTCTTTCCTGACAAGGCAACAGTCGCGTTACTATCAGCTATCCACCCAGACC